ACTTTCGTTTGGCTCCGAGGAACAGAAAACGTTTAGAAAAAAGAAGCACGGATGCCCCAGAGCTGACAGAACTCCGGGACGAAATATTTTTAACATTTCTTCTGTCCCTCTCTTCTTTTATATGAGCCATTTACATCAGTGTGAGATGGTACTTAGATCCACGGGTTTGTGCATGTGTGCGTATGTTTGCAAGTATACATAATTTAACAATTTCAGTGTTAAGTATGGGGTTTAGTCCCTATAGCAAATCCTCACCCAAGATAATACGGATTAAGCTCACTTCCCCCCATGTAGACAAACCCTGAGTTGAACTTTAAAGCCACTTTTTAATCTGTAATTAATCCAGGGGAAAGGAAAGCAAATACACAAGCTTGTTTTGCTGGAAGTTTTAAGTTGCCTCTGAATATGTTATTAATGGTTACAGAAGCAGCTTTTTTTCCCCCAAGGTCAGAATGAAGCAGCCACCTTTTTTTTAACTGGTGAAAAAGAATTAGGAATAGGATTTTGAGGACTAGGAAGGGAAATGCTGTTGCCGACCCTATCCAGTAATGTGTGACAAAAGGAACTGGGAAGCCAATGTATAATTCCCTGTTACGATAACTTCACTGGTCACCAGTCTGGTTCCAGCCACTAAGAAAAGTGCTATTTATGACCGATAACACCCTATATAATTTATAGGCCATCTGAACAGTCCCATTGTCTTATGCGAGCCTGCCTGGGCTTTGAGACATGCGGAAGATGCTCCTCTCTCAATCCCACCTCCTCCAGAGGCATGATTGGTGAGGCCATGAGAGATGTCTTTTCAGTGTCTAAATCTGGAAAATGGAAATTCTTGATGAGAGAAGCTACTGCTCAGCTTTCTTGTCTAGGCAAGGCTTCATCAACATGACTACTAAGGACAGCAGGTGTAAAGTACAGGCTGCCCTTTTCTATGGTTAATTGTACAGTGGTGCCTCGCTAGACAGTTCCCCCGCATGACAGTTTTTTCGCTAGACATTGACTTTTCGTGATCGCTATAGCGATTCGCAAAACTGTGATTCCTATGGGGGGATTTCGGTGGACAATGTTTGGTCCCTGCTTCGCAAACTGATTTTCGCTAGAAGATGATTTTGACAGCTCCCTCCGCACTCGCAAAACAGGTGTTTTCGGGACCTAAGCTTTGCAAGACAGTGATTTAAACAGCTGATCGGCAGTTCGCAAAGCGGCTTTCCTATGGCCGATCTTCACTAGACAACAACATTCTTCCCCATTGGAACGCATTAAACAGGTTTCAATGCATTCCAATGGGCAAATGCTTTTCGCTAGACAATGATTTCGCTAAACAGCGATTTCAGTGGAACGGATTATCATCATCTAGCGAGGCACGACTATAATTATATTATTCTTAACAGATTTTTTTCCCAATAGTTTTTAACTGCATTGTTTAAAAGGATTCCTGATGTAATTACATTTCAGTAGTTTCATTACTTTAAACTATATTTCTTTTAAAATTATACTGTAAACTGTTCTGAGTCCTGCTTCTTTGGGAGAAAGGCAAATAAAATGAAGCCAATGGAAGCTGCGTTGTTTCCAGGAAATACTGCATTTTTCCGTGTATAAGAAAAATTGAGGGTCGTCTTATACGTGGAAGTAAGGTGAGAACAAAAACAAGTGAAGGGGAAAGCAGGCATTAAAGCGACCCTGCAGCGCTTTGATCCCTTTTAAAGCGACCGTGCAGCACTTTGATCCCTTTCCCCCTGCACTTGCTAAGCCCCACTTAAATTTCTTAATTTTTGCCTTATACATGGGGGTGTCTTACGCACGGGAAAATACTGTATATCCTAGGGACAGAACCATTTAGCCATTGCTCTAATGCAGAGCTCAGAAAGTTACATTTTAAAAGAAACTTTTTGTGTTATTCATTATTTCTCATCAATTAGGTTGATGTCATTGCTGTAATCACACAAGTAACTTCTTATGTGGTTCCTTACCTTGCATTGTCATTATCAAGCCAGCGGAAAATATTTCTAGTTCCCTCTAGTGGTCAATTCTGATACCGCCCTTTGGAAATTATGAAATACAAAACCAAATATTTCCCTTGCCACTTGGGATTGATAAGAGAATGCCATAAAATGTAAACATTTTCCGTGAAAATGCCTCTGAAAAATCCCTAGAACCAACTTTTGAAAGCAACTACTTTGTATTCATTATGGCTAAGTAACCTAGATAATGCAAGTGTTGCTCATGACACCTAAAATTAACTTTTGAATTATTAGTCATATTACTTGCTACCCCCAAACTAACTAGCTACAGGTAGTTAATAACATATAGCATGTTATTTCCAAACTCTGCTCCATAGATCTCAAAGACTAGGAATGGAAAACCATATGTAAGCATATTTCAATGGAGGGGGATGACACTTAAGAAATCCTTGCCACACGATAAACCAGCGTACAGTGGTGCCTCACAAGACGATTTTAAATAAACCAGCATACGTGGTGCCTCGCAAGACGATTTTAATTCATTCTGCGTAAATCATTGTCTTCCGAAAAAATCGTCTTGCAAGGTTCCCTATGGGAACCTCGCAAGACAAATGACATTTATTCGTCTTGCGAAGCATCGGGCTCGGGGGGAAAAAAAGTCTTGCGAAGCACGACCATAAAAAAAAGTCTTGCGAGGCATCATAGGGATCACAAAAAACCATCGTTTTGCGGGGGTTTCGTCCCCTGAGGCAATCATCTTGCGAGGCACCACTGTATATAAACACTATCTACTACAGTCATTGGAAATTTCAACAGGGGAAATAAACACAACTCTCTGCCTTATAAAGCATAACTTATGTGGGGGCATCTTTCTTGAGACCTGCGCATGGGGAATGTAATTTGAAATAACCAAAGATTATGGGAATGACTCTCACCATGGTTGGGCTCTCCTTTTTGGGCAGGTAGGCCAGTGCCCACACAGCTCCTCCAAACTAAGGGAAAGCTCTATTAGATTGGGGTGAGCAACAGGGCATTTTTTTTAAAGCCTCAGCGCCCCAACATTTTAAAATTGGTTTACAGTGGTTTTGGACAGGGGGGGAACAGTAATTAACTTCTTTTGCAAAGTACCAACTTACAACACTGGTTTTACCACACACGTACTTCTCTCAGCCCAAACATACAGTCTCATGACTCATGGAAGACAGCTTTCTGTTTTAATTTGGAAATTGTATTTTCTGCATTTCTAAAATCACAACCTGGTTCATACAGTACTTTTCTAGAACCTCCTTCCCTTGTTTGCTCTTTTTGTTTAACATTACATTTAGCCTGAAACGAGCCCTGCAATTTTTTTCTGATCAATGTGAAACCTTTTGATTGGTCCTAATAAAGTCATTACATTGTCAATTTTTGATTTGGACTAAATTGTGTCAGACTGCAAAAAAAAAAAAAAAATTCATTGGGAGAAACTGAGGGGTTTATTATATTCTTTGGTTTCTTTTACTTGAATACAGTACTTTACAGTTTGAATTCCTGAGTTCCGTTTACAACCAGAGATGGCATAATGATACATGTGTGCAAACTATACTGTATATTTTAATCACATATACATTGGGTTCATAAATTCTACCAGCAGGACTAGCTCCAACTGTCGCTGGGATTGGTGCCCCTGATTATTACTGTATTTTTCGCTCCATAAGATGCACCTCTCTGTAAGACGCACCAAATTTTAGCAGAAGAAAACAGGGCAAAATAATCTGTTTTCTTCGCTCCATAAGACGCACAGATATTTCACCCCCCCGTTTTGTGGGAAAAAAGTGCGTCTTATAGTGCGAAAAATACGGTGTGTTACTTTGTTTTTCCCACCTGCAGTCCCTCATTCCTGCCAATGCTCCGGAAACTCTCTGATACAAATCTTTCTTGACATAGCTATACAAGAACAAACTGTAGGTCCTACAGTGTAATTTTCCTACACAATCACATACTGTCAATTCTAGGGAAGGTTCTGGGCCATCAGCAACTTACTGTTCAGAATGCTGATTCATTTGCTCTAACACAGCTTCTGATGGTCTTCAGGAAATTTCATTAAATCTGGACAACGGATAAAAAAATACAGGGAAATAAAGTTCATGAATATCCTCAATCAATTTAGCCTCATTTTTATTGGACCTATTTCGCCTATAATTGACTTACAGTATTCATGCTAGTGGGGGTTCGAACAGGCTGCCTGCCCTCTGGTAAAGTGTACTCCTGGTTGGGCCCACAAGAGAAAGACTTGGTCAGTAATGATGTGCATGAATGCCTTATTGCCTTTTTTTGTTCCAGTGTTGGATTGGGCCTGTCAGACTATTGGAATTGTCCTGTCAAATTGTCATACTGCAGAAGTTAGAGATGACAGTGATTTTAATGACCATAACTTCTTGCAACGATGTTCAACCCTCTGCAGTTTAATCCTCAACAAAACATAATGTTGAGCCCCAAGCTAAACATATGTTTTTTCACAGTTTGCCACGAACGTTGCTTACTCTGAAGCAGTGGTATACTTTTGGCACCCAGAGCTTTGTTGCCCTCTTGGTTGAGCTTGGGTCTCATGAAACTGGAAAAGATGGAGGACAGAGGGACCACCTAGATCCGAGTGCATCTTGACCACATTGGTTCTGAACTGAGCCTTGTATCCACAGAGAATTGGCTGGAGGTAGCACATGCCCTGGGGGGTGGGTGGGCAGGTTTGCACCCCTCCAGCAGCAAATACCAACCGTTTCAGGGTCGCACCCTTTCAACGGCAAATTTTTGCACTTTCTACATTTTGGCATCCTGGGTCAGAGCCCCACCCTAGTTATAGCTCTTCCCCGAAGTCCTATCCCCACAGCACCATTTCTTCAGTGGAGGGAAAGCATTGATTGATAAGTGAGGGTGGTTGGTGGCACTTGCCTCAGGCCTCGTTTCTGTCCTAAATCTTACATATGAACTGATCCCCATCAGATGTCCAACCCCGTACTGAGCGTCTCAGCCACCTGTCAGAACAGAGAAAGCAGCCAGAACAGGAGCTGCCTGCCTCAGGCTAGGGAGGGCCCAGAAGTCATAGAAACTGGACATTGGTCTAAGTGAGGAAGCCCAGAGACATAAACCTGGCAAGCTAATGGGCTTGAAAGGCACTGATAAAAACCTGGGAATATCATCAGGATACCAAGGGGGAAGATGTATATATCGCTTTCTCAACCCACCCAAAGCCTAAAAATTTTCAATGGGCTGACTGCAGTTGATACCAGTGACCGTGGAAAGCGTCCAGTAGCGGATTGGGAGCAGGAGGAGCCCATCAACACTTCCCTTTCTGTCCAACTTTCTTTAGAAGAGAGATGATCAGACTGTCCTTCCCTTTGTGACTTATTGCTTCAAATCTGGTTTGGGTACTGTACTGATTTTGTTTACCATTTTTTAGAGTAGTATTTGTTTCATTCTTTTTAATATCTGTACACTTCCTGGTTTTCCCCTTTGAATGTTGTCTTTTAAAGATGGAAGCTGCCTCCGGTCCTTTTTAAAGGAGAAAAGGCGGGGTAAAAATATTTTAGATCCATCCATCCATCCATCCGTTGGACTTGGGGCTGGTTTTATGGCCCCGGATCCCCTCTGAGGGAAACAGAACCCAGAACCCACCAAAGATGTGAGGGAAAGCAATGAAACTGAAAATGGCTAGAAGTCAATGTCTGTTCTTAGAAAATGGGCTTTAGAGCTTCAAATGGTGCAGGGGACCCTGGGATCTACTGAAAAAACGATTTGCTGCACTTTTTGAGTCTTCCAGCAGCAGCAATATGGTTTCTTTTTCTGCTGAGGTAAAAATGTTTTCTGAAAAATAATTCAGAAGGGCAGGGGCAGCAACAACAGCCTTCAGGGGCCTTATGTGGCCCCAGGGCTTCGCTTTGCCTATCATAGTTTTAAAGCAAGCGGGACAGGTAGATCCATTGTTTCATATTTGATTTTATGACTGCCAGGTCAGCAGCATCCATGGCCTGAACTCTTCTTGTGCAGTTATGCAAAAGGCATACGGTAACTTTTAGATGCAAATTGCCCTAAGCTAAGACTCAGGGTGCAACAGATAACGTCTACTGATTTTTTTTTAACTTAGGCAGTTTGTGTCTAAAAGTTACTCCTTTTGCTTAACTGCAGAGCAAGATTTCAGCCACTCTCGCAAGTTTCAAAACCTGGGGGTTTAGGGCAGGGCCTCATCAAGTCCAGGGTGGGCAGACAGATATTTGTGATATCCCAAGAAAAGATCCTTCAGCAACAATTGTGAAATGCGATGCATGTAAAAGACAGATTCTATAGAGACTTTTATGATGAATTGAAAGGCCAGCTTGTGAATCCTACCAGCTGCAACTCTATAGAATGCAAAATAATGAAAAGGAAAAAGGGTGCTTGTAAACATGTCTAAATCAGTGGACCCCAACTTTTTCTGAACCGCAGACCAGTCGAGGGGGGCGGGGTGTGTGTGGCGCGGTTGTGGGTGGGCAGGGTGTGCTCATGCGCATGCGCGGAGGGTGCGGGCCACACTTACGGAGGGGCAGGGTGTGCTCACGCGCATGAGCAGAGGAGCTCACAGAGGGGAAGGGCGCCCATGCATGTGGGTGGCGGGCTGTGCATGCGAGTGGGGTGAGTGGGGGGAGTGCATGTGGAGATCTGTCTCCGTGGCCTAGTCCTGCCGTGGCCGCGGACCGACCCCTCTTCTAAATAGTGTGTTCTGAAAACCAAAGTCTAGGGCTGCCAAGTTTTTTCTCTGATTTGTCAAGTCCAAAGCCTGAACCCTGAAGAATGTGCCCTCCAAGCCTAGGGTGAAAATCTGAGACTGGGCAGTGTTAGGGATCATGATCATAATCACGTTTGTATTCTACTTTTTCACTTAAAAATGGATATTCAAGGTGGTTATCAAATATCTTTAAAAAACAAAGTACTGTAAAGGCAAAAACCAAAAACCAACATCCTGTTGCATAGTTAACACTGGTGGAAGGGAAATGGTTCAACTTTCAGTGGCAAAGTGCCAGAAGTTAACGGGTCCTTGCTTGGGATCCTGGTCTCAGGCCAAACCAGTTGAATGGTACACAATGAAGAATCCAGGCAGAGGCATGTACCGTATTTTTCGCACCATAAGACGCACTTTTTCCCCACAAAACAGGGGGGGTGGAAAGTCTGTGCGTCTTATGGAGCGAAGAAAACATTATATTTCCCTGTTTTCTTCTCCTAAAATATTGGTGCGTCTTATGGAAAGGTGCGTCTTATGGAGCGAAAAAATACAGTAATTAGCAGCATTTTTCACAGTTTCCTTTCTGCCATTGGGGTTACACAACAGGATTTGGGGCATTAAATAATTAAAGGGCTGCATGGGGAAAAAGAGGCAGATCGGGACCATCAGTCGCTGCCTCTGTAATCATGAGCATAATTCTCCATAGACATGCCATGTACACTTGATGTTCGCTATTCGTACAGAGTTCCTGTTGATACCTATGAAAAGCCGGTTAGCCAGCATCAGGATTCTACCATGCTACTGTCGCTTCCCTGCAGCTCCTTTCCCTTTCCACGTTACCACAAGGCAGGAGGACTTTTCTCCACTCAGCCCTGGGCTATTCATAAAGAAAATAGCTAGGTGTCGTTCCACCAATCATAGTGGAGTTCCCAGCAACTATTGAGGCAATTTCTTTTTCTAGCAACAAACCTGGAGCTCAGCCTATCCTAGACCATGAAGCCTTCCAGCCCAGCGTTTCTCCAGGTGACCACAAGGTAGATGCGGGTTTAGCAGGTGGAATTCCTGGAATGGAGAAGTCTAAAAAAACCAAACAATGCACATGCCTGGCACGAGCCTCAGATCTTTTCCTACTAGTTGTATGACTTTCTGGCTACAACGCCCATCATTGGCCTGTTAATCGTTTGATGCATTGTTATTACATATGTTTCCAACTGGACCAGTTCCACAGAAGTACAGGCCATCAAGTTTTATTCTTTGTACTGACCTTCCAGAAATTTTTGTTGGCCATTGGGTTGGATCAAGACTTTAGTATCTTAGAGCAAGCCTACTTAAATCAATGGGATTATTATTATTAATAATACTTTTCAGGTTCAGGTTCCCCTTGACACTTAGTCCAGTCGTGTCCGATTCTAGAGCGCAGTGCTCATCCCCATCTCCAAGCCATAGAGCCAGTGTTTGTCTGTAGACAGTTTCTGTGGTCACGTGGCCAGCGCGACTAGACATGGAATGCCGTTACCTTCCCACCGAGGTGGTACCTCTTTATCTACTCGCATTTACATGCTTTCGAACTGCTAGGTTGGCAGGAGCTGGGACAAGCAACAGGAGCTCACTCCATCGTGTGGTTTCAATCTTACAACTGCGGATCTTCTGACCTTGCAGCACAGAGGCTTCTGCGGTTTAACCCGCAGTGCCGCCACGTCCCTATATATTAATGTCCCATTTGATTTCAGTGGGTCTGCTCTAAGCACAACTAAGGAGAAAACAATTTAGACTGTGTGTGGAACATTCTGGTGCAATCTATTTCCCAACAATCACATGATGCATGGGGAAATGTGTTCCAGCCTGACCCCGATCCATGCATGCCCAAGCTAGACCTTTTTAGTCCAGCTGCAGGACTTCAATTTTGGGAGCCTAGTTGATGCAATTCCGCAATAGACAGAAGGATTGCTTTAAAGGAGATTACTCCCCATTAAAGCCACCTGTTTTGGTACGGCTGTACATCTGCCTTTCCTGCCGTCTGTTCACACCCTACGTTGTAATTCCCTCCAATGTGCTAAAACACAAGCTGGTAGTTTAGTAGGAACATTTCTTGTACTTTTTTAAGAATTCATCCAAACTGAGAGAAAATGCCTCATTACTAAGGGAATTGTGGTAAATTTTGAACTACAAATTCTCATTATGAGAATGTGTAGCCTCCCATCTCCCCCAAGCATCAATACATGATACTCTGTTTATGATGATCAGCATGCAGCAGCCTAACACATGGGAGTTACTTGGGCAGAAGCAGGATTGAAATTGGTGGTGCTGATGCTTCGGTTTGCTTCGGTTCCCCTTGTGCACCATACTGAGTTTTAACTAGCTTTTAATTAGAAAAGCAAATATAATATTGGAAAGAAATGTTACCTTTTAAACTACTTGTAAATGAAGTAGAAATCCCGTCAAAGATAAGAAAAGACGGTCCAGGCTCTGTTTCTTTTCTTCACTCTCTGATATCCTCTACAATAATCTGTCATAATTTAAACAATAATGACATTTGAAAGCCTTGTTATCACTTCATGAAAGTGCCAGAGCAAGGAAATCTTGCCAGTTATCCTGCAACCCATCATAAGCATAGGCAAAAAGTCCTGAAGCTATACTTTTCTCCATTCCGCCCCCACCCACCCACAACAACTCAACATGACATATTTTTGTGGGTGTTTCCGCGTCGACTTCAAAGTGCTAATGATCACTTATAAAGCTCTAAACGGTTTGGGACCTCAATAATTGGCAGATCATCTTCTTCCACCCAGATCTACCTGAATCAGCCGTCATCGCCAGCAGGGATGGCTGAGGGGTCTGACGCCAAGAGAGGCTCGGAAGGAAAAAACTAGAAACCGGGCCTTCTCGGCGGTGGCCCCTCGGCTGTGGAATGCCCTCCCAACAGAAATTCGGCTGGCACCCTCGCTGGGTGTTTTTAAAAGCCAGTTAAAAACTTGGCTATTTAAGCAGGCCTTCCCTCCAGTCAGCTAAGTCTTTTTCCCCCCTCCTCCTCTTTTCTTATTCTATCCCATCTTGGTACTCCTTTCTTCAATTAATTGCCTTAATTAATATTGTAATTGTATTTTTACATTTTTATATTGATCTATTTTATGCTGTAAGCCGCCCCGAGTAGACGTGGTCTAGAGGGGCGGGGTATAAATTTAATAAATAAAATAAAAATAAATAATAAAAATAAATTAGCTGGTTTCCATGGGTAGCCACAGTACTAGAGAATGAATTTTTTTTTAAATGAAGAAAGTCATATTTTGGTTTTCTTTAAGAATTAAAAGGGCTGGAGATTTTGCACTGAGTGCTTATAAAAACTGGGAGAAATACAGGAGATCTGACAAGTGTTTGTTAGTTTTTCATTATTCTGATTCAAGTTGCATTTGTTTGTTATGCATCAAATTAAAACAGCTGTATTTGTGAACGTCTACAATTCATACAGCACCAAGTGTGGTGTAGTGAATAGAGTGCTGGACCAGGATTCTGGAGAACAAGGGTTCAAAGCCCCATTTGGCCATGGAAATACATTGGTGGATAGGAATTGGTAAAACCACTCCTTAAATATCTCATTTATCATGAAAGCCCTGTTAGGATCGCTGTAAGACAGTTCCAAATTGATAGCACATAACTAAAACGATTTATGCATCTGTCAAATTACAAAACGAATTTCAGATGCATTGTTTTATGTAAATTATTTTATTCTTGTGACTTTCTCTTATTATAGCCAAAATTCAAGACAAATAAGCACATTTATTGAGATTTTTATTGCACCGTTTTTCAGGATCTTAAGAAGAAAAACCATGTGCCACCAAGTCAATTCTGATTTATTGCTACCCTTTCCAGGGTTTTCGAGGTATAGAGTACTCAGAATGGGTTTCCCATTCCCTACTCCTGGCACTGCATCCTGGGACTGCGCAGCTTGCCCAAGGCCAGCCAGGCTGGCTTTTCTCTCTGAAGCCATAGTGGGCAATCGATCTTTCAAGCTCTGGCTCCACTGCCAGATACCTAAACCACTGAGCTATCCACCCAGGTGGTGTATATGGTTCTCCTCCTGAGAACATCAGAAGGACATCTAGTGCAGGAAGGAGCAACGGGTAGCAGCATCAGATGTTAGATTAGATGGGAAGTTGCCCATTACCATCTAATCTAACATCTGGCATCACAATACTGTCTGGGACAAGAGTAACCTTTTTAGACTACAATTACCAGAATCCTCTAGCCTGTTTGGCTCATTTTATAGTCCAAAAAAGTAATTTTTAAAAGATTTGCAGGAAGCTCCCATAGGGTCTTGCAATCCAGAAAAGTAATGTTTCCTATTTCTGGTCCGGAGAAACGGCAACCTTTCCCCCTCCCATCTTCATAGATATGGGTGGCCGTCAAGGTCACATGCTCTCTAGGTCCTCTCTCAGCTTTCATCCAGAACGAAATGTTACTAGGTTCTCATTGGGAGAGACTCAGCGCACTCCTAACCTTTTCCCTGTATGGAAACCGGTCAGCAGCAAGGTCACAAGTCTGGCCTGAATAGCACAGAAGTAGGGTCGAGCTATCAGATGCTGGCTACCAGTGTATTCCCTTCCGTTCCTATTTATGTCATGCAATTATTCGTCACTCCACTGTTTAGCTGAAAGATTTTTCAGGGCGGCTGGCAGCTGAAAATGTTCTAACGTCGTAAAAAAATATGTTAAAAACGGCAAGACCGGAATAAAACCAAATTTAAATAAATAAATAAATAAATAAATAAATAAATAAATAAATAAATAAATAAATAAATAAATAAATACTATTTAACAGCATGTGCAATGAAATACGTTTTCCTCAAATAAATAAATAAATAAATGCTATTTAGCAGCATGTGCAATGAAATACGTTTTCCTCTTTTGTCGTAAAAATAACATCAAGCCTAATGGGCCCCTTAAAGACTAACTGCTTGGATTGGGCATGACCTTTTTATGGACCAGTAGCCTACGGAAGCTCCTGCCAAACAAAACTATTTATTAAGGTCCCTTGCAATGGCTGTTTTTATTGCCCAAGAAGCCTTCTTAGAGACCACATTGCACAGCTGAGAGGTCTTCATAAGAGCAAGTGCTCATTCCCTGGTTGCCAACTCCCTTGTTTTCAGAAACTGGGGGAGCATGGAGAGCATGGGTTGGAGCGGCTTCATGCTGCCTAAGGTTTCTAAGTAATCTTCCAGAACAAGCTACCCTTGCATTACCCATCCCACAACTACATTCAATAAGGCGCTGTTACTTAGTCTTGCAGAAGGAGAGTAAGAGAAACTGAGGAAGCAAGTTGTCAGCTCTCAAGCATTAGACACACATGTTGAGTAGGTATTTGCAACCCAAGTTGGACTTGCAGATATGCTATTTCCCTTCAGCCTCTCTTTGTCCTGTACCTGCCCATCCACCTCCGCCCACCCCTAAGTCCTCCCTCTGCACCTATGCTTCTAAACCTCTTATTTTCCCATGGCCACAACATGTTTCTTCCAATATTCCATGCACCCACTCAACCCCTTATACCATCCACTCATCCTCTTATGCCTTCAGTTTCTTCCAGTGGGGAGAGTAGGTCCCATCTATATTCTAGAACTTTATGAAGACAGGAATGTAAAGAAGCTTGGAGCTAGAAAGGATGCCGTCTGGAAGAAGGGAAAGAGAACAGCAATAATGGAGATAGAGAGAACAGACAATTATGGTGTGTTACTGGGAAAATCAAAGGTCCTGTTACTATTGATTCTTTTCCCCCCCCCACTCCCTGGGATTACTGCTCTCTTTCTCTTTTCCATTGCATCCCTTCTACTTCTTAGTTTCTTTATACTCTGTCTTGTCCTCTGGTTGTCTTGATATCTTGACAGTCATGTAGCTCATCAGGGCAAACACCATACAACCATTGCCTTATAACTACTTACCCCACTGCACCTGGACATCCCTTCATCTTTTCACAATTTCGCTTAGCTGGTCCTGGGTCACCCTTTGCTTTCTTCTTCAGTCAGGATGTATCTCCCTCCCCACACACACTCTTTTCTCTCTTCTTCACCTTCTCTTTTCCCTTCTTCAGTTCTCTCCTCCTGGCTATCAAGAATCCCTCTGCTTTCTCTCTCTCTCTCCCTTGTTCCCTCACACCAACTGTTGGGAGTGTAGATGCCAGCTAATCCCTGGAGTATCTGCAGTTTGCCATGAGTTGAAAAGGAAGCAAGAACAAGTCCCTCCCCCTGGTCTTTTGGGATTGGCTGCTTTTGGGTGTCCCTCTCCAGCTGTTTTGGACAGCTGGAAAGATAGTGTGCCAGATTTTGGTGGGAAAGGGAGAAAAACAGTAAAACCAGGGGAAAAAAAGATTAGTGGTTTGTCTTTTCCACTCATATCTTGATGGTCTTATCCCTGCAATGATAATTTCGTTAGGCTTTTTCATTTTCTGTTTATCAAAGCTCCCTCCCTCTCTCTTTTATTTGTTTCTACCCTCAGCAATAAATTGCCATGGCCTGCAAATCAATACATGGAAAATGCTCCCAGGGGATCAAAAACATCCTGGTGGAATCCGCTAATGGTCAAGCTTTAGACAGCCCTGCTTTCTCCACCATATTTAACCCACCTGGCTGGCGATATGCTGAGGCATAGCTATAAAAAGGAACAGAGAAAATGCACTCTCCATTATGCATCATTATCAGCAAAACATTTTCAGAATTTATTGCCTGTCCTCCTTTGCCAAGGTGTGTTGGTAAAACCTGAAACTAAGCATGTTGGTTCAGATTTTAGCATTTTGTGGTAAATCTCAAGACCTGCTACTTGTTTTTAGTAAATGACTAACAAAAACGTTGCCATTTCCCATGAAAACCAGAGTAATCCACAGGTTTGTGGAAGGATGCACTTGGAAACTCAAGTTTCTCTTTGAATAATCAGTCATGTGTCTTAGACAGTTGAGATTTATCTATAAATCTTAAACATGTAGATAAAATTTTGCCATTTGATGAAAGCAATTTATACTTATTGATATTTGCTAACATTTCTCGATGGCTTTCTGAAATGTTCGAAACCTTAAAATATGATGAATATTTTGAGATTTGGCTTTCAATATAACTTGGGCTTAATGAAAACAACTCACTATTATCTAGTGAATACTTTCCCCAACAGTAGAACATTTTTCTTTTAAAAAAACACATTTTTTAAAAAAATTGGGAGGCATCTTACAAAAATTGACCTTGCTTTCAGCTCCCCTCATTGATGTTCTTAATTTGCCAAATTTGAATGGTTTGGTCAAGGAGTGGGAAAGGAGCAGCTTTCAGAAGCAATGACACTCAAAAGAGATTTTTAAAAGGGTGAATATTTATCATCTCAATCTTTTTTAGGAGATATTTCCACACAACTAAAATGGTTAGGCTTACCTACCCTGTTTCCCCAAAAATAAGACCCAACCTGAAAATAAGCCCTAGTAGGATTTTTCAGGATGCTCGTAATATAAGCTGTACCCCAAAAATAAGCCCCAGTGAAGTAAAAACCCCCTCCCTCCACCATTGTGCAGCAACCAGAAGAAGATGACATGACTGTGTTTGAATAAATGGAGATTGTTGTACACACAAAAAAATTTTTCCCTGAAAATAATGCCTTTTTTTCCAGCAAAAATTAATATAAGACCCTGCCTTATTTTCGGGGAAACACGGTAAAAGTCTAAAGGAGAGAGTTTTTTGGTGTGGCATGAAATGAAGTACATATGTATAACTAATAAGCAAGAGATAATAAAGAAAGTAATGAAGGTATTTTTTAGAAAAGACAATGGAAAAGGGCCTTTGGACATCTCTGTCTTTGCTTTTGCCACAAATGAATGATGTTAATTTAAGCTCACATTAAAATATAATACTTAGTCTTTAAGATGTCAAATGTTTTTGTCTTACGTTGTTTTGTTTCTTTAGATTTTGCCTGACGTGTTAATTTAAGATACTTATTGCAGAGGGAAAAAAACTAAAAGCCTTATGCTGCATCTTTTATAGTCACATTATAGATGCCTTTGAACACAAACTGGAAAACTGGAAAGACAATGAGCCAGGTTTTGATGGTAAGGGAGAATGCACACCATCCTCATTTTTCTCACTTTGGATGCGGCAGGTCGAAACAATCATGTCTTACTGCATCTATATCAGTTTTAAGCCAACAATTTCTTCTTGTACCTCTTTCCCCATTTATTTTACCTTTAATGATCAGCTAGCAATCTGTATCCCCCCACCCCCATATTCCTGACGTGTTCTTGGCATGCTACGTGCCTCTAACATTTCTTGATCTTTATTCATTTGCCTTAGTACTTCTTCATTGGGTCACTCTCTTAATCCAGGAACTGCTTAGCATCCTGTGATAAATCCACCTTTCAAGTGCTTCAGTCTTTTGTACAGCATCATGTTAAATTACAGATTCCATGCCATATAGTGGAACTACCAGTTTAAGGTGCATTCTCGGTTTTTAGTTTTTGTTGCATATTCTATTCTTTATCTTAACGAAGCTGCTCTGGCCCATCTGTGTTCTGACTTCTAGTTCATGGCGACAATCCCATTTTTCAATCGACACTCTGCACGTTCATTTCAGATCTTCAGCTTCCTTTCTTGGGTTGCTGTGTGTCCTAGTAATGCAGCGCAGCAGTTTCCCACTGAGGTAACATTTCTTTCATTCTTCGTATCAGTCTCGGCTCTTATTTGATGCTGGCTTATATCTGTGCTTGATAACATTTCTTTGTGCAAGGATCAGTTGCGTAACAAAATGAATGGTGGCGCTGGCGTCTGCGTGTATCTGAAGAACCAAAGCCGGCTTCTTGTAAGGCCAGACATCTCATTCTCAAATCAAGGGTTCCCTCTCCTGGAGAGACAGGAAACTTGCATTAAACGCTGGAAAAGTTATTCCTTCTTCCCCATTCAAATATTTTCTCACTATCTTCGCTTAAAGAACTACTTCCTCTGTGACCCATTTGCCACATCTCCAGCCTGCTTGAGCGTTAAGATAATCAGGAGAGGGCTTTCTCTCAGTCCCATCACCTTCACAGGTGTTGTTGTTGGGGACACAGGAGAGGGCCTCCTCTGTCGCTGCTCCCAGATTTTGGGACTCCCTCCCACAGAGGCCAGGCTGGCCCCATCTCTGCTGTTCTTCCATAAAAAGGCAAAGAACTTCCTCTTTAGGCACACTTTTCCTGAGTGACTGGCTGCCTGGGCAGGTGTTTTAAAACTGATTTTTGGATGTTATGCATTGAAAGTGTTTTGGCGCTGCTTCTGTTTATTGGTGTTGTATTCATTGATCCGTTTAGTATTGTATACTCATTGTTGCTAATCTTAAATACTGACTTTTAATTGTTGTAAACCACCATGGTTCCTTTTATGGAGAAAGGCAGGTTATAATCAATCAATCAAACAAACAAACAAATACGAGCTTAGCCTGATGAAAAGGCTGACTGCCGAAGAATTGATGCTTTCAAATTGTGATGCTGGAGGAGACTCTTGAGAGTCCCCTGGACGGCAAAGAGAACAAACCTATCCATTCTGAAGAAAATCAACCCTGAGTGATCACTGGAAGGACAGATCCTGAAGCTGAGGCTCCAATACTTTGGCCATCTCACGAGAAGAGAAGACTCCCTGGAAAAGACCCTCATGTTTAGAAAGTGTGAAGGCAAGAGGACAAGGAGACGACAGAGGACGAGATGGTTGGACAGTGTCATCGAAACGGCCAACATGAATTTGACCCAACTCCAGGAGGCAGTGGAAGACAGGAGGGCCTGGGGTCACGAAGAGTCAGACACAACTTAACGACTAAACAACAAAAACCTGATGAAGAGTTCTGATGAACTAAAAACCTTGCCTTGTTTAGCTTTTAGTGATCCAATAAAGTTACTGCTGTATGCAGATCTTTGTTTATGTAGACAGATGACATAGTTGTGTTTTTCTAAATGCAGTATTACCTCAGTATTTGTGGGGTATCAGTTTGACCCCCCCATGGATGCCAAAAAGTTTGAGTATAGAAATGCTATACAGTCGTGCCCCGCTTAACGATTACCCTGTATAATGATGAATGCATTTCACTACGATGTTTTTGCAATCGCAATTGTGATCGGAAAACGATGTTTTAATGGTTTTTTTTCGCCTTGCGACGATCGGTTTCCTGCTTCGGGAACCAATTCTTCGCATTACGATGATCAGAACAGCTGATCGTCGGGTTTCAAAATGGTCACCGGCTGCTCAAAATGGCTCCGCGTTGTTTTTAGGAGCCATTTTTCACAAAACAGGCAGTGGAAAATGGCCGTCATATGGAGGATCGTCGCTGGACGATTAGGTATTGTATGGAGGATCGTCTCTGGACGATTAGGTATTTCGCCCATTGGAATGCATTAACCGGTTTTTAATGCATTTCAATGGGTTTTTAAATTTTCGTTTGATGACGTTTTCGCTCTACAGCGATTTCGCTGGAACGAATTAATGTCGTCAAGCGAGGCACCACTGTATATAGCATAGCCTTGGTTCCCTCTAGTGGCCAGTTCTGCTGAAATACCTTGTGAATGTGATTTTTTGTATTTTTTTTTCTTCATATTTTCAGGCAGTGGATAAGTGAAACTTTGGGCCTGATCTGTGGATAAGGCATTCCTACTGTACTTGGAAATTTTACGATGAATGAACATAGTGATAGTGAATGAACATAGTAATATCTCACTTTTCCACAACTGAAGGGTGGAATATTATTCTCTATGATTTTTAGAGCATCATCCTGCCACTGCTTGGTTACAGATAGCTTGGCACATCTTTATATTCATTTTTCTTAAATGTAATATTCCAAGCTCTGAACGACGGCAGGGAGTTAGAGACAAATGCATGAAATCTTGGGTGCCACTGAAGCTCTTTAAAGTGATTATAACATAACCTCTCAATCAATCAAATAAAAACCTGTCCGTAATGTTCTATATTGAGTTGAAGGGTAGAATATTGCAGCCAAATATGAAGGAAATATTTGTGACAAAGTCTTGAGTTTTAAAACTTCTTTTCTGTGCTAAGTCTGGAGTATCAGAGAGTAAGCCATTCACAACTAAAACTTTCCCTTGAAAACCTAGACATGGAATGGGGGCATCACCCACTACTATCTTTTCTGCCGCTCTACAACAGAATTCGTTAATTACTATTCAGGCTGAGTATTTTAAAATCTGTGAAAT